TAACCAGAGATTGGATAAGGGCTTGAAATTATTCCAAGGGGAAGGTATTAGGCACCCCTCAGAATCCACTAGTGTGGTTCCCGGCTAGACTATTGTTGTGAATTTAGGTGCAAATAACATGTAGGCAAATTAAACTTCAAATAAGAGAGGATTTTCACATAATGGTTACAAACAAAATTGGAAAGAATTAAAAGGAAGCTGATTTCTTAAAAGAAATAGTTTGAAATCTTTAAAAGAAACAAAGAAACAAAAGNCAAATAAGAGCGGATTTTCACATAATGGTTACAAACAAAATTGGAAAGAATTAAAAGGAAGCTGATTTCTTAAAAGAAATAGTTTGAAATCTTTACAAGAAACAAAGAAACAAAAGAAAAAGGGGGGTCCTAGGTTTATTAATAATATGGATCACCCCACACAACATCCGGTAATCACTCCTCAGTGAGGGGCTACACGAGACGTTATCGCGTGGTCATCATATTCATATCTACCCTTTCCCACCCCGTTGAGGTATTAAAGTGTGAAATGGTCTCGATTACTTATTGCATGCTATTACTCGTCCCAATCCTATAAGTCCGGAGGCATTAGGACTACTAATCCTAAGAGGGAGGGATATTAGGCTTATTTGTAGTTTCAAAGGTAAAATTCTAAGGCAACATACAAAAACATGTATAGCAAGTTGGGAAAAGCACATAACAAGTAAAAGGCTCAGATGTACCCCCTCGAACAAAAAAAGCACATAATTAGCATGACTTTCACATACTGTTTATGGTCCGAGAAAGAACTTAAAAGTTTAGGCAAACTGATTTATTACATAATTCAGATAAGAAGCCCGAGTCAGGCCAGCCTGTTGGTTGTAGTTAATAACACAGATTCAGTTTATAACTTTTATCCTAAGGCTTGCCTGAATGTCGGACAAGGATCCTATAGGCATGGTATCTATTGAATTCAGGAAAGCCATGAAATAATAAGGCCTAAATAAATAAACATTAGTACATGCTGGTAAAAAGGGGAAGTCAGAGAAAGCGCACTTTAACGAAAGTTATAGGCTCTAAAACTGATGATACTCGTTATTACTGATTTTATATCTAACATTTAAGTGAGGCGAATCAGATTCAATTAGAGACTCCTATAGGCATGCTTTCTAGGCGTTACTGGTTTTAAAACCTTGAAGATGTAGTATAAAAATGCAGAAGACTCATTTTAAACCTATGAACATGATATCTAGATGTTGAATTCTATTTAAGACATGATGCCCAAGTGCAATTGAATGTTTAAGTCCTATGAGCATGGTATCTAGGTGCAGAAATTTGTTTAAGACCTATGAACATGATTTCTATATGAGAAAATGGATATACAGGATTCAGAAAGACCTATAGGCATATTTTCTATATGCATATGCAGAATTCAGATTGACTTATAGGCATGATTTCTAGACGAGAGTCGTAGACCTATGATCATAATTTCTATATGAAAAATGGACATTTAGAATTCCCTATAGACGTGCTTTCTATATGCATTTGAGTGTGCAGAATTCGAAAACCTATAGACGTGGTATCTATGTGAGAATACAAAATTCAAAATTCCTATAGCCATGGCATCTATGTGAAAGTGCAGAATTCAGAAATACCTATAGGCATGACATCTACCCTTTGCATATATAGTTACCTGCCCTTTCACTAACCAGCCCCAAATGTTTATTACAAAATTATTACAGCCTAGAATAAAGTGAAATACATCAGAAAAAAATAAAAGTACAACCAAAGGAGAGCCTGATTCAGACTTCATATCTGAAATATGAGGTAAACCAACTCCATAAGATCAAGATCCAAAGCCTTTCTCCCATTCGAGTGTGTCAAGTTCCCTAAGAGCCTCAAAAGGACTCCGGGCAATGCTCACACCCAAATGTATTATCAGATTAAGACAAGCGCAGTGTGGAAGGGTCAGCCCTCAAGTGTCCAAGTTCAGAGGGAACTCAAGGTCCCAAGGCAAGGGTCATAAGAGGGGGTCAGAACTTAAAGACTAAGAGGGAGTGCAAGTGTAGAAAAGAATTCTGAGAGAGGGAAAGGGGAAGAGAAATAACTACAAATAAGTACACATAGGGGCACAGGGGAACGGGGAGGTTGTAAAGAGCCAAGGGCAGGTTGTGGGCATGCCCAACAATGGTGAATGCTAGCACACCCATAAGCCTGTTAGAACACACTATTAGAGGCTAGGATCCCAAAGGATCAAGCTTAATTCATGGGCAATAATTTGCATATTGTCATGCCTTAAGCCATAGCTCAAACACATAGGGGGTAGGGGTTTGGGATCCATAATAGAAACAGGCAGAAAGAAATCAGCATGCTAATTTAAGTGTTGAACTGTACAGAAACAGTAAGTAGGCATGGATACAAAAGCAGTAAATTAACACATTGTCGTGGTGCTAAAGCTTAAACCAGAACATACCAGTTTCAAAGAAACAAAAGTAGTAGGTCTTGTAAACAGGCCACGATGCAAGCAAATAAGAGAGAATACTATTGTGTGTAAGTGTAGTTTCAGAAGAAAACTATGAGTGAGTGATCCTTTTTTTTTTGTGCTAATGAAAGAGTAGTGTATTTATAGTGTGAAAATAGGTAGAAATAAGGTAAGAAAATAATTAAGGGACTGGGGTATCAATTAAAAATCAATCAATACAAAATTTCGATTAATTAAGGAACTCAGATTCAAACGGGAAAACTATTTAAGGAAAGAAATCAAATAAACATCTTGTGCAAAGCATGCAATTAGGGGTAAATACATAAGAAGTTACTTAAGGGCAGAATTTTGAAATACACGGTTACATAAATAAGGTAAGAAAAATCAATTAGTAGCCAGTAAATTAAGGATCGGAGATTTTGTAATCACTGGTCCATTAGTGAACCAAGTCAAAAAAGCTGAGAAAAGTTTTAACTTATGTCGAGTCACAAAGAAATCAGCCAACAAGGAAAGAGATCAATCAAACCTATACAAAAGGAAGTCTGAACTAATCACAAATTTGAAAGCCATTTTAGAGGGAAGTTCAGCACATATAAAGAGCATACAAACATGCTAAGCTGAAAGAAAATGACGTGTCATTGCAAAATCAGTAGATAGTAGACTATAGGATCATGGTAGTCACATAGGTTAGCAATGTAGAAGAGAAGTAGCATCAAACAGCATACAAAAGGTCCAGTGTAAAAGACCTTAGAAGAGTTTAGCGGAAAATCAGAATTGCTTAAAGAGACAGAGGTTGAAACAAAGATTTCGAGACTCAGTTGAGAAACAAATTCAGAAACTCAAAATAGTTAGGGTTTCTAAAATCAGACGGTTTTAAAGATAAAGGACAAACATATCACATAGCCAATGTTCTCAAACTCGGATGAACCCCAAATTTTAGGGTTTTACCATCAATCAAGTGCCGAGATGAGAGGACAAGTAATCAAGAAGAAGATACTAGTCGAAAACAAGTTCAAAGATCTTAGAAGGGAACTGGGGCCTTCGACATGATTTTTCAGTAACGGAAACTCATGAGAAACATAGTAAAAGAGTAACATGCGAATCATAATAGAAGAGCTCAAAGAAACATAGTAGAAGAAGCTAATAAGAAACATAGTAGAAGAAGCTAATAAGAAACATAGTAGAAGAAGACTAATCAGAACACAGTTAGGAGAAACATGGTAGAAGAAACAATTAAGAACACAGTGGAAGAAACTTAATAAAAAAAACTCACAGAGAACACAGTAGAAGAAACGTAGTAAAAAAATATACAAAAGATAAAGAAAATCAGAGAGGCCTCTAAATAACTCAGAAACCCTAGGTCGGAAAAAATAAAGGGTTTTGAAAACATAGCTTTAAAAGAAATATCAAGAAATCGTTTAAAAACTTAGGGAAAACATGGATCTGGAACAGATCTAAAGAGATCAGAAAAACCTCAAAAGCTAGGGTTTTAGAGGAATCCAAACGGTGAGAAAGGCCTGGATCAAAGAAGGAGGAATTGAGGCCAGGATCGAAACAGATATAGCTTGTCGGAGCAAGGCTGGAGATGGCCATAAAACTCGAATCAACGAGGCCTGGACGAAGCTTCTTCGTGCTCAGGCCATGAAACCTCAACAAACGAGCGTGTATGCACCATGGAAGGAGGTTGGTAGGTGGTGAGACCACCATAGATTCAGGCCAGGAGATGGCCGGAGAAGATGGATGAGACTCATCGGAGAGGAGGGGAAGGGGAAGGTTCTAGAGAGAACTAGAGATAGAGAGATAGAGAGATAGAGAGAGAGTCGGTTGAGTGAGGGAAATGAGTGGGGTTTGGGGGGTTGTTTGGTTTAATTTAGGAAGGATGAATGGTGGCCGTTGATCATTTTGATCAACGGCCTGGATTAAATGGGGATCCGGGCCAGTCATTCAAACGGGTTGTGGTCGGGTAGATTTAGGATTTGGGTTGGGTAATTGGGTTTGATATTGGGTTTAATTAGGGGTTCAAATCTGGCCAAAATTGAAATGAAATGGGCTAACATTTAAATAGCCACTTTTTCCCTTGTTTAATTTATAAAAATAGTAAACTAATTTCTGGGAGTAAATTAAAGGTACTAAAATGATTAATAATACATAATTATCCAATTAAAAATACTGAAGTTAATCTTATAAATATAAACACCATTAAATCTTAAAAAAAGCTAATATCGCAATTACGCGCAATTTAGCTTTAAAAATACTAAATAAATTTACAAAAAATATGCAAAAATTATGTTAGCTATATTTAATGCAAATATGAGAATCCAATAGATGAATCACCAAAATGATAATTTTGGGAAGAATTATTGGGTTTTCTTGCTAAAATAAGGAAATAAATTGATTTAAAAATCATTAAAATTAAGTGAAAAAAAATACTAAAACCTTGGGACATACTTATATATGTATATTCATGCTATTTTGAAAGTATTTTGTATATTTAAAAATATACAGGGAAAAATTGGGTATCAACAATACCACTAGCTTTTGGAGATTCATAGTCGACCGAGTGGATGTTCTTGTTTCCTTTGTCCACTGAGACCACTCGGCCAGTTATCAGATTGGTACCTGTACTTTAGGCCATTCACATAGTACACGTTCCTAACTGAGTGTCAAAAAAAACTTTCCAACTTTACATTTGCTGAGAATGTACCTCTCCTTTCTTTTTAAGGATACATTCCCTTCCTGCAAGGCTTTCAGTGAGAAGAAATTCACGATGTTTTTAGTCACGTGCTTTGAGCATCCACAGTCCATAGTCCATTTCAGTCCGCTTCCTCTCACTGTTCCCTGCACATCCAAATCAAAGGTTAGATTTAGGAACCCAAACTAGTTTGGGTCCCTTGTTATGATAGAAAGGATGAATAAGGGCTTTCCTAGTCCATGCAGACAACATTCGCATCTTGCGAGTGGTACCTGGTACTTTTTTAGTAGTCACTTTATCAGTAAACACTTTGTTTTTCTGAACAGACTGAACCCTAGCCTGACAATTTTCCTTAAAATGCCCATTGTTCCCATAGTGGGTACATAGCCAGTTATTAGGGACAGTGACATACTTGCTGTGAGGGTTGTAAGGAGTTTTATCCCTTTGAAACCCAATGCCCTACCTGTTTCCACTATTGTTAAGATACATGGCAGTGACAACATCTGAGGACCAGGTCCACTTCAGAGATTTCTCAAGATCAATTCTTACTTTCTCCAATTCAGCTTGAAGTTGCTGATTCTTCTCAAGTTCACTACGTAGACTGGTTTTCACAATAGTTAATTCCTTTTCAAGCATGATGTGTGTCTCATTAGCTACTTACTTTCCTTTCCCAAGACTCACATTCCTATGTTCTCTATTGAGTCCTTCAATGGTTTCCTCTAGATCGGTGCATATCACTAAAAGGTCATCCCTCTCTTCCTCAGTAGTTGCATTTTTTCCTTCTAAGGTGTGTTTCTCATTGCTAAGACCTTCTATTGTTTCTTTTAGATCAACAACTACTACCATCAGGTCGTTTCTCTCATTTTTCACACTAGTTATTCTTTCATTCAAGGCTTCCTTTTCTTTTTCAAGATTAGCTATGGTCTCATTTAGGTTCACTAGACAGACCACCAGATCATCTCTAGATTGTTCGGCCTCTCCTAGTTCTATGGTCAGGATCTCCTTATTATTAACAAGGATATAATAAGCATCAACTAGGACATTTTCTAACGACCCTAGCTTCTTAGAAGAGTAGGATTTCAGATTTCTCTGAACATCCCTGAAGTTTACCTCATCGTCTTCATCTTCTCTATCATCATCAGACTGGGCCATCAGCGCGAACAGTGAATCATACTTCGTTGCTTCAGTTTCCACTTCCATCATGAAACTATTTTCTGCATATGGTTCCTTTTCAAATTTACTAGAGGAGTCTCCCCAAGCAGCAAAAGCCTGCTTAATAATATTGTCAGCAGCACTTTTTCGATTGAATCATTTGTCTGGAACCAGGCTCCTTTTTGCTGCTTTGTTAGGATTTTGTTTGTATTGCTTCTGTTTCGCGAGTGGGCAGTCTTTGATGAAATGCCCTGGCTTTCCACATCTGTGACAAAGATCGTTGTTCCTTGCTTTACTTGAACTGCCCCACTTTGGTATACCACCATGTCTTTGAACCATAGTTTGAAATCTCTTAGTAAGATATGCCATGTCACTATCTTCATCACTTGATTCACTGCTTTCAGCTTTGAGTACCATGTTCTTTTCCTTCTTAGTCTCTCTTCTTTCACTATCTTTCTTTCTTTTCATCTCGTATGTCTTCAGATTACCAATCAACTCATCCATAGTCAGAGTTTGTAGATCTTTAGCTTCAGTAATGGCATTTACCTTACTTTCCCAAGAACCAGGTAGAACACTGAGGATTTTCCTTACAAGCTTGTTTCTGGGAATGACATCTCCAAGTGAATGAAGCTCATTTATGATGGAGGTGAATTTGGTGTGCATATCTTGTATAGACTCATCATCCTTCATCCTAAAGAGCTCATATTCTGTGGTGAGCATGTCGATCTTGGACTGTTTGACCTGAGTAGTTCCTTCGTGTGCGGTTTGCAATGCTTCCCATATTTCTTTGGCAATGTCACAAGCTGAGACTCTGTTGTACTCATCAGGTCCTATGCCACACATCAAGATTTTCTTGGCACGATAGTTCTTTTCTACAACTTTTCAGTTAATGTTGCTGTACTTTTTTTTGCCTTTTGGTACCATTGGTCCTGTTTATTCAAGCTTCTTCATGGGGACATGTGGACCATCACAAATGATGTCCCACAGTACTGAATCTTCTGCCATCATAAAATCATGCATGCGTGTTTTCCATCAGCCATAGTACTAACTATTGAATCTGGGAGGTCTGTAGGTTGATTGTCCTTCCTCAAAGTTGGGTAGAGCAGCCATTGAGATCCTTTCTAGGTGTTAACCTTTTAGAAAGAACCTGCTCTGATACCAATTGTTAGTTTATATGAGTCCACCAAACTATAGAGTACCTGGTCTTATATGAGATAATGCTAAGAATTCTATAGAAACTGAAAGTAAAGAAGACAAGAGATTTTTACGTGGAAAAATCCCACACAAGGGGATCAAAAAACCACGACCTACTCTTGTAGGCTTTTAACTTCACTAACTTGCAATCTCCCTATTACAAGTCAATTTGCAATAACCCTATTACAAAGACTTCAACTAACTTGTGATGCTCTCGCCACAAGCCACTTTATAACTCTCCTAGTTACAAAGGCTTTAAACTTATGACTATTCCTAGTCACAACATAAACTCAAAAGTTTACAGATTTTTGGTTTTTTCCTAAGACAAAGCATCTAAGAAAGCAAACTAGGAAATACAATGAAGAGCAAATAATAAGATTACAACTCAACTACGGATGTACATAAACTTTTTTAGAAACTGATCCTTAGTAGAGTTGTCTTCTTGTTCTTGATACACCAGTGACTTCAATACTGGATAAACACTGTTATGCTTGAGAGAGTATCACTGAATGCACAAAGATGTTGTGCCTTGCACCAGGTTGTTATATCACAAAAGACATCACAATAGATAGTGATGTCAATTCTTGGTACACGTTTTTTCCCAATGAGAAGTGACTGTTGTACTGTCTGCACAACCACTTTTGTGCAGTTGCGTTCCAGCTGGATAGTCGACTTGTACTTCTGTCAGAGAACACTAACGAACCAGGTCCTAGTTGTGTTCCTCTTCTGTAACAATTGCGAGATGGTCACCTTCTGCTGCTACGTTCCAACTGTACAGTGACTTGTACTTCTGTCAGAGAACCCTAAGGGACCAGGTCCCTGTTGTGTTCCTCTTTATAATGATTGCGGACGGTCACTGACTTGTACTTGTATCGAAGAACCCTAAGGGTCCAGGTCACCAGGTCTCTGTTGTGTTCCTCCCTGTGGTCGTTCATTCATTTGCTGATTTTCAGACTTGGACCAGGTCAGTTGAAATGTATATCATCTGGGCCAGGTTCTATATCTGGTTCTTCACAACAAGTTTGTTAGATCATCAAAACATAAGAAGCATAAGGCAAAGACATTGAAAACCCATCAATACGTTAGTTGAAACATCTTTTGGTTCAAGGGTGACTGAACTCGAGGGCCAAGGCTATTCAATTCGTGTGGTTTGCATTTATTCTTTTATCGTCAATTTCAATATTAATCTATCTTCTTAATTTGTGCCAAATTATATTACATATCCTTAAAACCGCGTATTTATCCGTTTTCGAGGGTAAACACTTCTAATTGTAATCTAAAAAATATCATAAAAACATATATCCAGAATGTGAAAAATCTTTGAAACGCAGGTTGCTAAAAGGTGAAAATTTATGACAAAATGATTTAGGTTGTCATAGACTGGCCTATTCCTAAATGGGACCATGCACGTTATCAATATTACTCCGTATTTTTAATGCCAACTTTAGGGCAGTTTGACTTGACGTTAGCAAAAGCCAAGTTGTTGTTTGAGTTTCTAATTTGGTATAGTAAAGTGCATTAAACTTGCATGTGGATTTAATAGTCAATTTTGATGTTACAGCGATTCTCAACTTGTCCTTTGGTCAAAATTATTTAATATCCAAAAACCTTTTTGTTTTGTGGTCAGCGACCAAAATAAATAATTATAGGCTGTCATTTCCTTATTTAAAAATGTTTATTGTGGTAAATAAATAAACAGCTTCATGCAAATGGATAAATTAATAATTTCCCAGAACAAATATACTTTGACATCTGTCATGATTTCTCTTGCACGCTCGGCTTCAACACCAAAGTATTCCATCTATTGCTTTTATGTAATAAGGTTATATCGAGCATGAAAGTGAAATATAATTTGATTCACTATGGTATAAAAAATATTAATTTGACAGAAAAATATCACGTACTTCCCCCCACCTCTCTGGTTAATTAGATTCAAATCTAAGAACTTGTGACGTATAAATAAATAATATTACTGTTATAACAACGTAAACTATTTTATAAATTAAAATGAAAGAATAAGTTACAAAATTCACACAATACACAAATTTTAAATAGATAAGGAAAAAAGAAAATAAAAACGGAGAGACCGTTTGACTCCGTGAAAAAAATGAGACCCTTTGACTCGAAATAGAGGAATGTTCTGGTTTTTGACAATTTCTTAAAGCAAGATGATTAAAGCGACGCCACTTTCATGTTAGCCACACATTGTTGCCAATGATTAGTTAGCAGAATTAATGTTGTTAATCTTTTTCAAAAGTTTTTCTTTTCATTCCCGCGAGAAAGTGATCAATTTATTTTTTTATTTTAGTTTAAAATAAGTATTTATTTATATAATTAAAAAAAGTTAATTTATTTTTACAAAATTACCTTTATATATATAAACCTAAAAAGTTTTCTTACTCCTCGCATTAAATATTTAATTAAGGATAATTTAGTCATACTATGTGTTTTTATATAGAATTTAGTATTTTCATAATGGACGTGTCAAAAATAAATTGATCACTTATTGTGGAGCGGAGAGAGTAAACAATTTGCAATTGGTGCATTTGGTTTTTGACTTCCTGTTTTGTCATTGCTAAGTTGGAATAATTGGACCACAACTACTGTAACCTGAATCACTTAAGTACAAAAGCAATAGCTTGCTTACATATCACATCCACATGATAATTTTATTAAAAAATCTATAAATCTCTTCCGTAAATATTTCATAAATGTAGATCAAAAGTGGTAAAATTCTAAATGATTTTTCAACCTAAAAAATTATGAAAAATATTTTTTAAAAAAACTCCCAAGGAATTGAAAAATTAAAAGAATAGAAATTTTAATATTTTTCAGCCCAACTAAAGAGGTTATTGCTTTCATCTCATTTGAAAAACTTTTCATTTTTAGAAGAGGAACAATAATATTTGTTATTTAGCACTCCAAATTCATTTGGTAATAATAATTAAGTATTAATTATATTTGTGATTGGCACGGAGAAAAAATATTGAACTCTATCAGGAGGGTTCATTAGTCATTTCAAATACTGTCATTTCTGGAAAGTAAATGGATGGTACTCTCTGCAATGTTCCAAGAATTAATTTCCCCTTTTATCAGTTCATAATTTAGATTCCTATTACCCCATATTTTAATCCTTAATTAATCACATTAATTAGTATAATAAATTTTCACAGCATCACCAAACAAATATGCAGCTATAAAGGGCCCCACCAATTTAACATTATTTTCTTTTCTTCCCTTTTGCTCCTTCTCTCTACAATGAAACACTGCAAAAAGGGTTGGCAAGAATTGTTGGAGAAAAAGGAGTCATTTGATTCTATGCTCTACCCATTTGAATACTCATGTTGAGATTTTTTCCCTTTTTGAAACACCATTGTTTTTTCAAGATCTGATTTTTTTTTTTCGTGCACCATCTAAGCTCCAGGTACAACCAAAGCTGCTGTTTTCTTACTTTTAATTCAATCTGCTAATTGGATTTTATGGTTTGTAATTGTATTTTGTGGGTTTTTGTTTTTATCTTAATATTTTTCAATTCTGTTTTCAGTTTTTCTTGTTTGATTTAGCTGTGGTTTGCTATGATGTTTAATTGTTAAGTTTCGGGAGTTGCCAATAAACAATGTAACAATATCATATGTGCTAAATTTTTTTTTAATCTTTTATCTTTTTTGGTGTCTAAATCAAATGTTTTTTAATTTTGGCATTGTGGTTTCAGTATATCTAAACTTTGGAAAGTGGAAAAAAAAGGATTTGTGTGAACTCATTTAAGGAAATAGAATTTGATGGTAATTCTTTAACTAGTGCTGCTTGTTATTGCTCAAGGTACTTGAAATTGAAATTTTGTGCTAATTTGTCCAATCTGTGCAAAAATATGGTAGAACAAGTAGATTTTGACTTTTAAAGAGTTGTAGGACAGACATTTGACACAAAGTAATTCTATTCATACTGCTTTCCATCTAAGCACATGATAGCTATATCAAACTGTCTCAAGATAGCATTTGTAGTTTGTAGTTCATTGAATAGATAATAAGATCGATGTCCGGACTTCACGTCATGCTCCTAGATCACTTACTCAAATCCAAATGCCTTCTTAACCTTTTTTGCTGGACAAAGTTGTCACCAATAAATAGTACAGGACAGCTTTTGGATTTTGTTAGCTCACTTGTCCTAATTTGAGACTTTGATTTGAGGCAAACAATGTTCTCCTGTAATTTTTGTTTATGTAG